ATGTTGTGTACATGCCTTAGTAACAGTACACAGTATAGTATTGTGTATAAAGACGCACCATCAGGACCGACATCGTTCTAAAGGAAGAGACGTTTGTTCAACTTTTCTTTAGTTTTAGTCGTTTCAGTGTTTTCACTCGGGGCTTGTCAGACAGTTTTAATAAATTATATCACAGAAATTCTTCGCAGAGTTTAAATGAACTTAAAGTTATTATTAAAGTTATTATTTTATTAAGTTTGCCTGACTGACTGATTTCTCTGCTAAACTGATTGTTTCATTCCAATGGTTATATTTACAGGATTTCAGCTTTTGTAGTCGTTTATTACTATTTGTTTTTCATATTTGATCATTTATTAAATGACATTAATAACAGTTTGAAGGTCATTATCAGTTTAACTCCTGGAAGCAGCTAAAACTCCTTCTTACTGTTAATAACAGATATTCTTGATAACCTTCACCTCGTGTACGTGACTCGCAGCAGAGAACACAGCTCCATTATAATGTGGGGCTTATAAATATTTGTGTTTTCGTCTTAACGTGGTTTCCTTGTACGGACTGATGCAGCTGTCTCGCTGCGAGACGCTCAGACAGGCGGCGGCGGCACCGGGGGTTTGGTCCTCGCACAAGTTGCACATGTGTATGACGACGACGCTCAGAACACGCCAACTGTCTTTTTGTTTGTACTTGTATCACTCCGTGCAGGCAGGTAAAATACTACAAGTACACAAACAAGTAGAAGATACTGGTTTCTCCACAGATATCTAATGTGTGTGTACAAATCCTGACTCCACCATCTGTCCAGTAATGGCGGCCACAGCAACTAAAGATTTGATTATTCCCTTTTACTGAAGGCCGTCAGACATTTACATTGGCATCGATAAAACCAGTCCCTCAAATGGAAACTGCTCGTGTCGAGCCCTCGTGTCGTCTCCTCGACGTCTTCAGAGTAAATTACATTAAAATATAATTCAGCTGAGTCACCGTAAAGTACAAAACAGCCTAAGATAAGCACACGCAAAGAAGCTGGTCCATGTGGTAACAACCACACTGAACTGGTACGTTTTGAGTTGGTGTTGGGAACGTCGACGCTAAACGTTTAGCATGTGCGCTACAATCAGTTTTAAGGTGGATTTATTGTAAGCATTTGTTCAAACTGGGTCCCAGTGCAGTCAGTGGTAAAATATGTGAAATGTCCAGTAGCCCACAGACTGACACCTGAGCAGCCTGTTTGTCAGGCGGAGGTTGGTGCTCCGTGGAGGTGACGGAGGGTTGAGCAACATGTTCTCATGGTTTCCTGTAAAACTCTTACTTGGAAACTTGAAGGGGTAAAAAGTGCAGGAGTGGATGAGACGTGCACGTTTCGTCTGACGGTACTCCCAGCAGGCCGACTAAACGTTAGCTGGCCGTGCACACGTTGCTTGTTTCAAATAAAAAGGTTGTGCATTAAAGCGTTTAGTTTTGCCAGTCTCATCTGTTGATCGTTAAAGGTGTCGCCGCTCAGGTAATGGTTGGTGTTTGTGTGGCCGAGCGCTCGCACACATCCGACAGCTCCCGTGCACGTTTCGTCCACGCAGCTGTCGAAGGCAGTTCATGTTCTGAAAACAAGAAGTTGTGAAGGCTGCGCCCTCGTTGCTCTTTTGTATCAAAGCTCGTTGTTACTGGCACGTGGTGTGCATGTGTTACTGCTAACTGCGTGCCAAGTTCCCCTTTCACAAATAAAAGGTGCTTTCTTGTTGTGAGGTGCAAGAAACGACGTGTGGCGTTCGATTCTGCTGGCATGCAGCAAAAACCTTCAACTCCTGAGGCTGTCCACGTTCTGTGTGGGACTCTTCAGAAAACAAAGTACTGTGGGACAAAGGTCCAAACTGCACTCTGCCGCCCGCGGTTCACGGTTCTTCTGAAGAGTTGAGGGTAAAACACGGTGTTTTTACTGAACAACAGCTTTTATGAAGCTTCAGCTCGTTGCTGGTCTCTGCAGCCGTGCGTGTGCAACATATTGGAGTTCTGTAGAATTGCAGCAAAGAAAAGGTTGAAAGTTTCATTTGATGGCCCAAAATGTCAGTTGTTGCTGTTTGAACCGTTTGACTGAATCAAAGGAACAAACAAATGGACGGCAGTTGTTTCCATCTCGCATCATTTGTGGAGCTACTGATTCTGGAATAAATGTTTTGTTGTTGTGGAAACCACGAACTTGCAGAAGATGCTCTTAATTAAAAAAAGTCTCCAGAGACTAAAGACAGCCTTGCTGTTGCACTGATTCCTTTTGTTTGCAGAGATTAAAATAATCCCCAGATTAGGTGTAAACTGTGTTCTGGTTAAATGTTGTGGGGATTAGGCGTCTCCTCCACGTCGGTGTGGCACGTCACTTGGATCAGCCGGAGCACACGTGTCATGCTGGCCAACTAAACTGGGCTCTGTGTGTTTGTGCTGGTTCTGTCTGAGGTTTAAAGTCACGTCTGGAGGTGTTGGAGGGACTCACCTGAACGCTTGTTTTGGAGCTGCACGATGATGTCACAGCTCTGAGGTGTAGCTCTCCCTTGTTAAAACTCGTCTCACTGATGACCTCATCGTGTCGGCCTGCTTTGTGTTCAACAGAACAAACTACGTACAGAGTTAATCAGTGTCATGTCTTCTGTCTCAGTGGTCCGCTTGCACCGAGGGACGTCGATCAGCCCCACCACCACCACCACCACCCCCGTCGTCTGTTCCTACGCTGCTGATCGCTGCACCTTCAGTGTCGGACTCTTCTGACCGAGGCCAAAGTGTTGATCGCACACGCTTTTACTTCATTCCTGCCCTTTTGAAGGTTTGAGCTTAGATTTGAGCTGCATTTTAATTTCCTCATTGGAGACAAATCGTTCGTATGAGAAAGTGTTTCGTAGAGGCCGTTTGGTGTAACGTCCAGCTTCAGTCGGTGATGGAGACGGTCCAGGAGACGCTGTCGTTTTATTTGAACTGAAGGAACGATCAACGTTCAGTCGTGTTGCCAGAACAAACAGACGAGCGTAATGGGAACCTGCGTCATAGTTCAACATTAACTTTTATTTCTGCAAAGTTGGGCGTGAGCGGGGGAGCCTTGACTTCCAGAGTTTCATGATGTTGGAGCGCCGTGTAAAGACACAGCCAGCCACGAGTGGCGTCTCCACCGCAGCCCCCAGCTGAGCCGTGCGGTGCAACCCGCTCCGTAACGGGACAAAGCTTTTCTTTCATCGCCGCTCGCTCGACAACCATAGGACGTCCTCCATGGAAGCTGGAGCCATCGCTTTAGCTTAAAAGTTGCTTTTATTTCAGCCGTGTGTGCACGAGGTGCAGGGATGTCTCGTAACGCCGTGCACCGTCCATGAGAAGGAGCTTGAAGAAGAGGGAAAGGGTTTGTTGGAAATGACTGAGTGTCTGACAGAATACAAAGCGCTGGTGACTCCGTCCACGCGCAATGGGCACCGCGTCTTCAGCTACACGCTGGAGAGCCACACGGCGGCCGCCTTCGCCATCATGAACGAGCTGCGCCTGGAGCGGCAGCTGTGCGACGTCACGCTGCGTGTGCGCTACAAGGACCTGGAGGCCGTGGACTTCGTGGCTCACAAGGTGGTGCTGGCTTCTTCGTCCCCCGTCTTCAGGGCCATGTTCACCAACGGCCTGAAGGAGTGCGGCATGGAGGTGGTTCCCATCGAAGGAATTCATCCCAGGGTGAGTGTGACGCTTGTTTTTAAAAGGATGGACCAGTAAAACCAATGTTTTCTGTACTGTGAGTCCGTGTCAGGATTCTGTGACAGAACCGTAACTCAGCTGAACTCCTATTGACACAATAACAAGTGCATTTTATCTTAATGTTGCTATAAAATCATTTAAATTGTGACAGTTGTTTGGTGTCGCTAAGCTTTCGCTCCTGGGCGGGACGGTCTTTATTCTTCTGCTTCTTTTACCGTGTCTAGATGATTCTAATTCACAACAACAAATGGCAGCTTGTCGTTTTGGTATCACACAAAAACGAAGCCCAATAAAAAATCTGTGTAAGAAGAACAAAGAATAATAATTCAGTCCACCGAGCTGCTTTGATGAGATGTACGAGGAGGAGGATCAGCCGGGTGCTGCTGATCTGATGGTTGGTGCGAGCGCCTCTGTCAAAGCAGCTGTTGCTGCTTATTAATCTGGAGGGCTTAAAGATCATTTATTAAGCAGCAGAGAATTATTAATCTGAAAACAAAAACCAGAAACGGGCGACGCGCCGTCCGTCGGACAGGAAGCTCAAAGCTGCTGCGTCCTGGTGTTTGTTTGGAGTTTCTCCTCTTCGCCTTTTCCTTTCTGGGTTAATAAATAACGAGGACGCTCCAGTTGAACTCTGAATAAGTTTACAGCCACGTAAACAACTTATTTTTATCATCACCGGTAGGGCTGGGCGATATGGACCAAAATTAATACCTCCATGTTTTAACATAAATGGCGAGATACGAATTTTATTATTTCCATAAAGTAATAAAATATATATATTTCTGAGTCAAAGCTTTGTCCCATTTGTGACACAACTTAACAAAACTGTAACTACAAAATAAACGTCTCAAAAATAAAATGATTTTTCTGCATAACAAAACCAAGAGCAGCCGTGCACTTGAAATTTAAACAGAAACCACGGAGCAACCGTCATTTCATTGAACTCTTAACCCCGTGTTAACCTTGCAAATGACAAATAAACGAACTAAGGAAAAGGTGGCTCTTTTTAAAAAGTCTGATTGTAAGTTCATGCAACCCTTAATAACCTTTATTAACGAAGCTGTTGGCCCATTGTTGGCGTGTTTACTGAGCTCGGTTCTGGACATTTGTCTCCATGTTTTTAAAGAGAAGACAGCTTCACGCCATGCCGCTCTAAACCAGCTCGTTTCCTGCAGAACACCAAACCTCTGCTTTGTAGCAGCTACTGCATTTTTCACACCGTTCAGGAATTCAGGGGCCGTTTACACAACACGTATTTTGAGTGAATCCGCTCCGTTCTCTCTCTGATCATCTACACGACACCAGCGGCCCCCCCTCTTTGAATCCAGATGTTTCTGAACCCACCTTCCAGAGTGGAGGTTTTTCTCTGACCCCCCGCTGATGATGTAAACATCTCCCGCTGAAGCTTTGTGTTAAACCACATGTGCACACGCACGCGTGGACAGACGACATATTTCTATCAACATGGCGGCGGACACACGTCTTTCTGAACTACGACTGATGGAATATATTTTTAATCTCGTAGTTAATCTACGTCAGATTCCAGCTGCTGTGACCAACATCTGTGTTGGAAGAGACACAGTTGGATCCAGTTCTGATGTCTCTGTTTATAGAACGAGGCCGTGCACACATCGCGCTGCACTATAACATACTGAATGTGATAAAGAACATTTTAATAGTAATAAACATTATTTATGTTAGTGTGAGATATAATGATCAATCAATCAATCAACCTTTATTTATACAGGTAAATCCCATTGAGCCTCGAGGACTCATTTACAAGAGAGACCTGATTTCAACAAAGAAAGATGACAACAATGGACAACAGCAACAACAATAAGCAGTTATAAAAACTCATACTACAGTTTTTTTTTTTTTTTTTTTTAACAAATAGGATGGCTAAAAGGAAAAAGGTAACAAAACCAAAAAAACAGCTAGATTCCGAGACAAATGTATAAAACTAAAAACAGGAACATGTCTGCATTGGTCCCTGCCAGGAGTCCAACAGATTCTTAAAGACACTTAGAGAGGTCAAAGGTCGAGAGCTTCAAATCTTTTTGTAAGATATTCCAGGAAACAGGAGCGGAGGAGGAGAAGGTCCTTTTGTCTAGTTCAGTCCTCACTGAGGGAACACTGCAGGTAATAATGTCCTGAGAGCGCACTCCGGACGCTCTCTGGACGTTATGTAATTCAAATTATGTGATTAAAATGATGCTAAACATGTTGCGTGTTATTAAAGTTGAAAATGAAGACGTCAGGTTTAATTTTTATTTACAAACCGGATTCCAAAAAAGTCGGGACCAAACATGAACGCAGGACTCTGATTGGTCAGGGGGAGGAGTCACTGGATCTGATTGGTCAGGGGG